GTTTTCTGAAGAAGGGTCTAGGCCAGAAACGTCAGCCTTCCTGCTCCTCTGATGCTGCTTGGCCTGCTGTGTTCATCCAGCTCTACACCTTGTTATCTCATTATCTCTGATGAAGTCTGTTAAGATTAAAGTTCCATACACTAAATGTAACTGCACTACTAGCTAAATTGTAATGGTCTGAATATGATGTTTCCATCTATTGGATAATTAAGAATCAATATTCAGCCACTAGAATGGTCTTGTCCATTGACCATTTCAGTGTTCTAATCAATTTGTCAATAAACTGTCTAAATTAGCCCACAATAGGATTCCTACAATGTGCAGGCACAATGCAAGTGACATTCACAATTAAGAAATGCCAGTAATTATTTTCAAGAATGTACTGCTATTGCTGTGTCCTTTTCCAGCACTAACTTGAAGGTGGTTAGATATATAATTGGACCAACCATATCAATGCCATCGCTAAAGAGCAGGGGTGTGAGTGGGTAGCCATCTGACTAGTGGATCACCTCTTCAGCCGTTAGTATGAACAAATGCTCCCTGCCTGTCTGGATTGCAATGTTGTTCAATGCTTAACGGTATTCACAAGTTGATTAGTGCTTTTGTCATTAGATGTTTTTTCCATTCCTATTATTGGTGTGCTGTAGATGCAGAATATGATATAGAAAATGCACTGTAATAATTTTACAAGATTATTGTGATAGCACTTGCTGTCTTCTGTGGCTTTAAAAGATAAATAATAGTAGTGTCTGGATTTCTACCTGACTGATGAAATGTTTTCTTACATAATATAAATTTTTGATCCCATTTGAAATTTGGCGTTATTATTTGACCTGATCAAGATAGAAGCCTTCAACAGTATATCTCTTTCAGCAACAGTTAATCTTCTCAAAACTCTTTTAGAATTTGAAGAACTTCTCTTAAATCGCTTCTCACTTCCTTTTAATTCTGGTGAACGAGCCCCAGTTTTCCTTCGTATCTAGCATAATTTTAGCGTAATCCTTTGTATCCTCTCCATAGTTTATTTATCCTTCAGATACTAGAACACCTTGAAGTTGAGTATTTTCTTAATTTTCTTAATGTCTTCTTCAACTTTAAAATGTGTGGATCTGAGCTCTCAAATCTCTGCTTTTGATCTCGGGTGTGAATCTATTACTATAGCAAACAATTAGAGCCATTAATTGTACAAAAAATGTGGAGGCCTTTGAATTACATTTGATGAAAATATTGTTCTCTATGTTGATAACTATAATAGTTTAGCAATGCTATAAACAGTAAAATGTTTCATAATTAACCAGTTATTGTTTGTTCGCCATCAACTTCTTTAAGTTTTCATCAATCTCCATGACACTGAATAGGTGAATAGTCCAGGTGAGATCAAGATTTATTTGTGGGGAATTGCAGATACAAAATCCATAAGTCCTTGGTGCAGAGCTGAGAAAGCTAGTTAATACCAAAATGCTGTACTGCTTCCATGATGTTGCATTTAGCTCTCTTTTGTAATGTGCTATTGTACTGAATGTGATTTGGCTATTATCCAGTGGAGTAATTGCTTTTAAAATTTTACAGATCTAATAGATTCACCCTTTTTTTTTCAGAAATATCCATTGTAACACTGTTGTTGGATATAACAACAGTTATTCCTTGTCTTTGAATTATCACAATCAATGAACATGAATCCCAATAATTTTGTCGTGATTCCAGGCAACAAATCTGGCACGTCTGTTAAGTTAAAAGCAAGGTAAGTGAAATAACTGCATATTGCACAAACTTCGGTTGTGTTAAAATTTTAATGGCTATGAAGATCTGAAGTAGAATTTTTATGGGAGGATAAAACTTTGGGAAAACAGATTCTAATCTTCTTTTGAATTTTTATTAATGATCATAGAGCTTGCCAGCATCTCAGTTTTAGAAACCGAAAGAACTGCGGATGCTGTAAATCAGGTACAAAAACAAAATTGCTGGAGAGGCTCAGCAGGTCTGGCAGCATCTGTGAAGGAACAAACAGACGTAATGTTTCGGGTCCGGTGACCCTTCCTCAGAACCGGCAGTTCTGAGGAAGGGTCACCAGACCCGAAACGTTAACTTTGTCTTTCCCTTCACAGATGCTGCCAGACCTGCTGAGCCTTTCCAGCAATTTCGTTTTTGATCTCAGTTTTAGACCATGGTTTGAATAAAATGCATTCAGTAGTTTAACTTCTGAATGTGACACAATTGCAAGTCTAGCTGATGTGATGCTTTCAATTTGTGTATTAATTAATCCAGGTATAGATACTTGATAGGCAGCTAATTTTTAAACGTCGCATTCTGAGGTTTTAATAGGTTTTAATCCAAACTAATGGCACATGAAACGATCAGTATTCTTTATTTGTTATTGCACATAAGCTGGAACTTTGCAGAATTGGATTTTACAACAGATATAATAGAATATTTTTTGTGTATAGCCCATCTCAGGCCTCCACTCAAGCTTTGTGTTTTTTTGAGTTTAGAAGGATTAAGTTTGTGTCAGTTCTTTTTTGCATCGATATAAACAAATTGACGGGATTGGTAAAATCGATGTTAAAATATTCTCAAGGTAAAAAGTAGCCCTGTTAAACTTTGATTAATTTGGATTGCTGCTTGCGTGTTTGTCAAGAATTTGTTTAAAAATACGTACTACAGATTTCCATGGCCATTTCAGAAGCAATTAGGAGTCAACCACATTGCTGTGGAGTCAAATGTAGGCCTGACCAGGTAAAGACTGAAGATTTCATTCTCTAAAGGACATTTAAAAAAAAACACCTCGTTGACTACAGCAATTAACAGTCGCTACACAACAACCAATAGACTAACTTTAATTTCCAGATTTTATTGAATTCAGATTTCACCATTTGTCATGGTGGGTTATGAATGCAGTTTTCATGGAAAATTAGCCTGGGTCTCTGGTTTACAAGGCCAGTGAGAATGCCACCGCCCCTCCATTAAGGAGTAGGTGTTCATATACACAAATCACATTGGACAGTCAGAAACATTGATTGAACATTTATACTCTGGCCAGAATCAATTTAGTTGATGTAATATCCTTTATTTAATATTTTACCAATTTATTGCAAAAAATTCTTAAGCATGAAATCTTGTAGTAGTGTTACTTACTCAGCCACTTCTGAATAACAGCAAAGAGCAAGTATAATGTTATAATCGTGACATGAGATGCGTGTTGATAATCAAACTCTCTACTTCACCAATTGCACCACAAGTTTAAATGTGTTGATTCAATCACCAAAATCAACAATTGTTTCTCTTTTGTATCACTATTAAAAATAAATGAGGCATCCACTAGCTTTGTTTGAAAAGAATAAGTTAGTCAGTTTATTATAAGCAAAATTAATTCTGAAAGCAAGAGGAGACTATTGATTATGCAATAGCTACTTGAATTGGAGATATAGAACAAAACGTGATCACTTCTCATGGCCATTGAATTTTCTCTCAATGAAGCTGATTTGTTGACAGCTGTAGATGGATGATAAATGTCTATTTCTGAATTCAACCTGCTTGGATTCAAGTTATTGAGAATTGTTCGCAATGCAGTATGTCCATTTTACCAGGTAGAGACAAATACTGGTATTTCAACAATCTATCAGGTTCCCAGGGGCAACTTCTAAGAAACTGAATTTTAGGAAAGAGGCTGCAGCTTCTGATGTTCCTTCTTTAATCTCTGTCTCTAAGGTCCATTTGCAGAGGCCTAAGTTCAGAGAGCATTGCTGGGCAACTGTGAGGGGCTTCTAGTCCCCTCAAAGTTAGGTTTTTCCAGTAAAATTAAGGTAATAAACTCCAACTTCTTTTTTCTTGAAAGCTTTGCTTCGTAGCTGCTCCAAAGTCACTTAATTTCCTGTATAAACAGCTGGGTGACTTAAAGTACACATCAAACTATTGGCTTTATTTCCAAGAAGTCACAAGGTACAACTCCTCTCAATCCAGAGAATATGCAAATAATCAAATCTCGTAGTATTTCCCACATATATTTAAAGACTGTTATTCCCAACAACGAGCATTGATAATGTTGCAATTTGGGCACTGATTATAAAAACTGAAATTGTTCTTTACTAACGGAGACAAAGAAATATCAAAAATACTATGCTTGTCAAATGTTAGGCTTGTGTGTATATTGTTATGAGTGTGCGATGAAGAATGTCATAAAGGAGGCCCCATTTCTGGTGATCCTAGTAGGGAGTTGAGATAAATACATTTAAGATTAAATTTGTCAATAAGCCATTGGGATATATTGCAATAAAATCTTCATTTAGAATAAGCCTGTTAGCTTAATGTCTGCTATTGAGAAAATGTTAGATCTGTTATAAAGGATATAATAAAAGTATTTAAAACTGCAAAATACAGTGAAGTAGATTCAGAATAAGAGGTTGCATATTTCAGGTAGTGTTGAGGAAGAGTACCTTGAGTATTGTGAATCTCTCAAATTCTTAACCGCTGGTAGCTGTTAAGGCTAGGTTATTAAGTATATTCAAGACAGACAGACAGATTTTTCATTAGTAAAGTGATCGAGGATTATGGGGGAAGGTGGGAAAGTAGAGTTGTGGATCAGCCATGATCTCAGATTTGATGGGCTGGATGGCCTGCTTCTGTTCCATGTCTCATGGTCTTATGGTTATTGCACCTATAGTCAGGTAGAGACAGGCAGTGTTTGGAACTTTAAAGTTCTGAAATGAAATAGTTCAGTATTTGAAAGTTTGATATTTGTCACTTAATGCTTTATTGTATTGATTATTGAAAAGATTCTAAAAATACAGTATGAAGTGGGAGTGGAGGCATACTAATTATTATTGTTATCTTTATCAGGTTAGCATAGATTGAGTTTCCCAACATGTATAGCATTGAATTCTTGATTCTATTTTCTCTAGAAACCTTCGGGAGCTACGATTAGAAACTCTGCGGCTCGAAATAGACAGTGATGTACTGGAACAGAGGTTGCAGCAGCTTCGACAAGCCATGCGTAAGGAAAAGGAAGAACGGAAGTAAGTGTTAAGAGTTACTGCTTCACTTAGTTTTGTATAAATTTGTGAATGAGGTGGACAGGTTTTCAATGATAACTGCTTTTATATCGCATGTTCAATGTTTTAAAAAAAAATTCCCAAGAGGCTTTATTTGAGCATTAGCAGACAAAATCTTATCTGGGTCACCAAATAATATTAGGTTGGTTGACCAAAATTGTAGTCAGAGATGGATTTTTTGAAGTGTTTTAAGAGAATGGAGAATTAAAAGATAAAAGAAAGGTGCAGGAGAATGCCATTCGAGTCTCAATCCTGCCCCATCATTCAATATGGTCATGGCTGATAATCAAGCTCAATATCCTAATTGCCCAACCACCATCCACTCCTTCACAGTATTCCTTGATCCCTTTAGCCACAAGAGCTGTATCTGCCTCATTCTTGAAAACACAGAATGTTTTGGCGTCAGTCACTTTCTATGGTAGTGAATTTCACAAGCTGACCACTATCTGAGTGAAGAAATTTCTCCTCAGCTCAGTTGGAAAAGGTTTATCCCTTATCCTTAAACCATGACCCCTGGTTCTGGACTACTCCACCAATGAAACTTCCTGCATCCAATCTGTCTAGTTGTTTTAGAATTTTACTGGGTTCTATCAAACCATCCTCATTCTTCTGAACTCCAGAGTATATAATCCTAACTGATTTAATCTCTACCCAAATGTCAGTCCTGCCATCCCAGGAATCAATTTGGTAGACCTTTGCTGCAATCCCTCTATAGTAAGAACATCCTTCCTCAGATAAGGAGACCAGAACTGTACACACCATTCCAAGTGTGGCCTCACTAATGCACTGTATATTTTCATGATGTGGAGATGCCAATGTTGGACTGGGGTGGACAGAGTCCGAAGTCATATGACACCTGTCTTCACCTGCCAAAGGAGCAGTGCTCAGAAAGCTTGCAATTTCAAATAAATCTGTTGGATTATAACCTGGTGTCATGTGGGTTCTGACTCTACATATTTTCAGTAAGACATCCTTGTTCCTATACTCAAATTCTCTCGTTATGAAGGCAAACTGTACATTGGTCTACATTACTACCTGCTGCAAGGACAACTTTACTTTCAATGACTTGTGCACAAAGACACCCAGGTATCTTTGAATAACCCCCTTTTAATTTCTAGCCATTCAAATAATAATCTGCCTTTCTATTTTTGCCCTCAAACTGGATAACCTCACATTTATCCATATTATGTTGCATCTGCCATACATTTGCCCACTCTCACAGTCTGCCCAAATTGCACTGCAACATCTCTGCATCCTCCTCACAGTTCACCCTTTACCTAGCTTTTTGTCATCTACAAATTTTGAGATATTATTTTTAGTTGACTCATCTAAATCAATAATATATATTGTGAATAGCTGGGGTCTTAGTACCTATCCTTGCAGTGGCCCTCTCGTCACTGCCTGCTATTCAGAAAAAGACTAATTCATTCCTATTCTGTTTCCTGTCTGCTAACTGATTTTCTATCCATCTCAATACATTACCCCCAATCCCATGCACATTAATCTTTTATGTGTGACTCTGTCAAAAGCCTTCTGAAAGTTCAAATAAACCACATCCACTGGCTCCCCCGAACAACTCTACTCGTTACTATCCTCAAAGTTTCTGTAGATTTGTTAAGCATGATTTCCCTTTTGTAAATCCATGGTGACTGTGTCTGATTCTACCATTGTTTTCTCAGTGCATTGCTATAAAATCTTTGATTATGGCCTCTGGCATCTTCCCCACTACCAACATCAGACTCTATTTTCTGTCCACCTCCCTTTTAAAATTACGTTTTAAGTTATGTTAGCTATCCTCCAATCTGTAGGAACTATTCTGGAGTCTAAAGAATCTTGGAAGATAACCACCAATGCATCCACTGTTTCTAAGGTCACTTCCTTATGTAATTTAGGATGTAGATTATCAGCCCCTGGGGATTTAGCAGCCTTCAATCCCATCAACACCTTTTCTCTACTAATACAGATTTGCTTCAGCTCCTCACTCTCACTAAACCCTGTGTTTCCCATCCTTTCTGATATGTTATTTGTGCCCTCCTTTCTGAAGACAGAAGTGAAGTATGAATTTAGTTCATCAACCATTTCTTTATTCCCCATTATAAATTTCCCAATTTCTGACTATAAGGGACATACATTAGTTTCACCAATCTTTTTCTCTTTACATACCTATAGAAACTTTTACAGTCACTTCTTGTATTCCGCACCAGCTTATTCTTGTACTCTTTTTTTTACTACTTAATCAATCCCTTGATCTTCCTTTGTTGTCTTCTAAACTGTTCCTAATCTTCAGGCCTGTTGTGTTTTTTTTTCTTGCCAATGTCTCTTTTCTTTTTGCATCTAATTCTATCTCTAACTTCTCTCATAAGCCATGGTTTAGTCACTGTTCTCTTTGCACTCTTGTGCCAGACAGTAATATGCAGTAGTTTACCCATTCATTCTTTGAATGTTTGTCATTGCCTATCCACTGTCATTCCTTTCAGCAACATTTCCCAGTCCATTAAAGCCAACTCATATCTCATAACATTGTAGTTTCCCTTAGGATTCAGGTCCCTACTCTCAGAAGCAGCTGCTTCACTCTCCATCTTGATGATGAATTCTACCAAATAATGGTAACTCATCCCCAAGGCATCTCTCACAATTACATTGCCAATTATTGCTTTCTTATTGCATAGACAAAAAGGTTTTGGAAGGTGTTACAACTTGGGTTGGAGGGATCCACTGACCTTTCTTGTCTTACTGGTCACATCAAAATTTAAATTCCATTAAATTGATGATATGGCCCGAAATATATCAAACACTGTTGTTCAGTTCAGTTTTAAGAACAAGCTAGGCAGATTTCTTTAGTTAACAACAAATAACTGCTCTACCACCAAAAATAAAATTCGTCAAACAAAGATGCAAGAATCATTGACAAACAGTTTGAATTATGTAAATATATACATTTACCTTCTTCAAGGAAACTGACACAGACACCAGAGTTGAAACAAGAAAATGAAAACTCTGCAGAGGGTTAATTGTACTATTATGGCCCAGACCAGATTCCCTCAAAATACTTTAACAAGGTAGCCTAGACCCTAAATTTTTCATATTTTAAAGGCAAATGTAAAGTATCTGTTCCAGACGCAATGCGACTGGTCAAACTACTCGATGTTAAGCAAGACACAATTTATTTAAACAGGGCAGTTAAAATACAACCAAAAAAAGAGGAATTTAGAATAGTTTAACACTATTAAAACTTAACAGAATAATAGATACAGTAACTACTACTAATTAACTGTCCCAATATAGTAACATACCATAAACAGACCCCTTGACAAGAAAGGAAAATTCAGACACAGGTTCTCACATGCAGTTCTCCAATCCAGGAAGGAAAAAATATCAAGAGAAAATTCAGAGAGAGTGGCCAGGAGACATTCAGTGAAGCTTCCAACTCTGTTGAGACTCTAGTAGCTCATAATGCTACTGAAAAAGACCAAAACCCAGAAATCTTAATTCGTGAGAGCTGGCCACACCCATTCGGGCTCTTTTTAAAAAAAAAACACAAGGCCTCACAAGCTATTTATGTTACCCCAGAGTGCTTGTCATCTCCGCCTTTTGACCACTCTTCAAAAAAAGGGACAAAATAACCTCTTAAAAGCTGCAGCATTGTCACAGTATAGTACTTTGGCAGAGTGATATTTAAGTTCATGAGAAATGGTTAAGTCACAGAATGTCCGATATAGTGCTGTGATTCCAAAATTGTGCTGTACTTTCAAGGTGCTGGTACTAGGTTGTCTTCCTGGAACAGTTGTGATTGGTTGAATTCCCTTTGCTGGATTTTGTGGAGTAGATGCTATCAAATCCTTTCCAGGAATCTTTCATGAATGGTAAAGATGACATCTGTTAGACTTTCCACTCACATACTTTGCTGAGAGATAACTAAATATGTTAGGCAAACATCAAATTTAAGATGACCTCATAATTGATAAAACTAATGACAGGTCATTTTAACAAAATATATAGAATGGCAGACAATAACTGGAAGGATTAATCTGAAGCTAGAAATTGCAGTATGAGAGGTAGCTAGATAGAATTGTAAAACAAAATAGACAGTGAGTGTTTCACAGTTACTTAAAAAGAAAAAGAGCAAATAAAGTGGTTCTGAAGAAATGTATTTGGACCCTAAATATCAATTCTGTTTCCCTCTCCAAAGATACTGCCAGGCCTGCTGAGTTTCTCCAATATTTCCTGTTTTAATTTCAAATAAAGTGAGTGTGGTCTTCTCAAGAGTGAAAATGGAGATTTACTAGATTGATATCTGGAATGAGTGTCATCTTGGAAGAAAGATTGGATAGACTGGTCTTGTTTTCACTGGTGTTTAAAAGCGTGAAGGGTGGCATGATTGAAATATATAAGATCCTGAATGGTCTTGATGACTTGGATGTGGAAAGGATATTTCCTGTTGTGGTTGAATCTAGAACCAGGGGCTAATGTTTTAAAATACCTTTATAGAGCACAGATGAGAAGAAAAATTTTGTGGTTTTGAGACTTTGGACTTTCTGCCTCAGAAGGAGGTGGAGATGGGGTCATTAAATAGTTTTAAGTTGCATTAAATAGTTTTAAGTTGCAAGCTGGTAGATTTCTGTTAGGCAATGGAGTTAAAGGTTATCAAGAGCAAAAATAGAGATTGCTGGAAAAACTTAGATCTGGCGGCATCTGTGGAGAGAGATCGAGTTAATGTTTCAGGTTGAGTGACCCTTCCTCAGAACTGTTCTGACTCAACCCAAAATGTTAACTCTGATCTCTCTCCACAGATGCTGCCAGACCTGCTGAGCTTTTCCAGTAGTTGCTGTTTTTGTCTTTGATTTACAGCATCCATGGTCCTTTCGTTTTTTAGTGTCAAGAGCAGATGGGAATCTGGAATGCAAACTACAAACAGGTCAGTGATAATCTTATTGAATGTCAGAGCAGGCTGGAGATGCCAAATAGTCTACTTCTAATACCACAGTGACTATGTTGATTCTTAATCAATTGAATGTTAACATTTTAAAAGTACATGCTTCTCCAAAGTATGATGACCACGCCTGTGGAAGTAAAATATGCTATTGAATCCAACAGAAACGTTATCTCCTCTGTCTCTGAAATAAAACTGCAAACTGAACTTGTTCTTACTGCTTCAACAAGTTAAACCATTCAAGATGATTTTACAAATTATGAAATTTAACTTCAGAAAAAGCTCACTGAGTCAAAAAAAAACTTTTCATAGGGATTATCCTTTCAATTTGGGGATTGCCTGTAAGTAATTTTAATTAATTGCCGTGCTTAGTAAATTTGTGGGTACATCTTGTATTTGCATTTGGGAACCACCTATAAAAATGTTTATTGGTTCAGGATTGGATTATATTGTCAACTTGCTCGAAGGCAATTTTAAATGTACTTGTGATTTTCTATATTTTGATTTCTTGCAGTTAAATTAAAGAGGCTTTTTTAAAATATTCACCTCTGTACAGTGTAAAATCTGACCATAATAAATGTTAATAGACATCTATAAAATTGTTACGTGCTCCAGATGTCTCTGTAGAGGGACTTAATATTTAGAGTTTTGTTCTTTCTTAATATCACCTCATAATCTGAATTACTTGCCTCACTGTGTAGTGTTTGATGATAAGTAAAATGTTTACCATAGTTTTACCAGACCATAGGGCTGCTCTCTCATTAGAGGGAGACAACTGACGGTGGTTTAACCTGAGGGTCCCCAAGTCTCAGGCAAGGGGAATCCTTCATAGTAACTTTTCTGGTAATTTCACCTATGCAGTTGGCATCACTTTGCGTTGCAAACCAAGCATCCAGCTAAGTGAATCAACTTAACGTGCCCCCCCACTTCCACTGCCCTATCCTATTTATCCTATCCTTTTATCCTATCCTATTGGTCGCAAGATAAAATAGTTACTGGTATTGAATCATTATAGTTTTTAATGGGAGTGCTACAATTTTGTTATTCATTTTGGGTATTGTAGGCGATCAGGACCATATCATTGGAAATCTGGACAGATGGGGAGTCTTGTAAATCATGCACAGGTAGTGCTGAGAAATAAAGAAAATGTTAATCAGAAGGTAAGGAGACACATCAAATTAACAGAGAAATAAAATTGTCTATCATAAGATGATATGAATTAATTCCTTCAGCTGGCTTTTGTAACATTTGATGCAATGTTTGAGAAATTCAACAAAGAAATTGTAATAATGGTTATTGAGATAGCCTTATTGGGAATAACTATGGAAATATACTATCTATTAGCCCCAATAGCCAAATGTTTCTATATCAATGCTAGCTCACTTTTCTGTCCAATCCAATTCTGTCCAAGTCTGCCATGTTTATTCCTATGATAGAAATGTAACTACCCCTAGATGGTTGTTGTGGAAACTGCATGGTAAAGCAGGTTGTTGGCTTGCTCGCCAAGCTGGCTGGTTATTGTATAGACGTTTCGTCACCATGCTAGATGACATTACCAGTGCAGCCTCCGATGAAGCAATGTTGTTCTACTGTGCTTGGCACTTATGTGATTCTGTCTGTTAAGTTGGATTGTGTCATTTCCAGTTCTGTTCTGCATGGGTTTGTGTATGGGGTCTAATTCCACATGTTTGTTAATTGCATTACGGGTTGAAAACCAGGCCTCTAGGAATTCCAGCTTGTGTCTGTGGTTGGCTTGAGTTAGGATGGTCACGTTGTCCCAGTTAAATTGCTGACCTTCATTGTCCAAGTGTACTGAGACGAAGGAATGTTTGTCGCGTTGTTTTGCTGCTAGCTGGTGTTCTTGTATCCTGATGGCTAGTTTCCTTCCGGTCTGGCCGATGTAATGTTTGTTGCAGTCATTGCAAGGTATTTTGTAAACTACGTTGGTTCTGCACGTCATGCATGTGGGGTCTTTGGTCCTTGTGAGTGTTTGTCATAGTGTAGCTGTGGGTTTGTGTGCTACCATGATTCCTAGTGGTTGTGGGAATCTCCTTGTCATATCTGATATATTCTTGATATAGGGTAGTGTGGACAGTGTATCGGGGCATACTGTATCCTCTAGCCATTGTCTATCGAGTAGGCACCCGTAGTTGTTGGGATATCGTTGTTTGCAAAGACCTTGTGTAGGTGCTGTTCCTCCTTTCAGCATAGTTCTGGTGTGTTGCACTGAGTTGTGGCCCGCTTGAATAGTGTCCTCACACAGCTTTATTTGTGGTCATTGGGGTGATTGCTGTGGAAATTGGTGGTAAAGCAATTGCATTGTATTATACAGTTTTTTCAATCCTTTCCCATCATTATTATCGCCCGTATTCAGCAACACTTTCAACTCTATTACATTGCTTCTTCTATCCATCTCTACACCACTCACCTTATTTCACTTCCATTCTGATGGCCCAAAATATCCAGTTTCTGGATCACTGGAGGCCAGGCTTAAATGGAAGTGTGTTCAGATTATGGGATAGTCTTATTGCGTGGACCTTTGTGGCATTGTCCAGGATGTCTAAATTTCTGACAGGATCAGAATAACTGGCTATTAGAACAAGATGAACATTGAATGTCATGGCTACAATTGGATGAGGCAATAAAAGACTGCTGCAAAATTAATGACTTTGGAGATTAATGGGAACATTGTAACTCATTCTCATGTCTGAAAGGTTTGCTTCAATCTACTCCAAGTAGGTCTGCTCATTTTATGAACGGGATGCTGAGCAGATTTAGGAAGATCTTTGAATAATTGCTGTTTATTTGTTTACGATTGGAACTTTGTTGTTGCCAACTTTTTCTTCCATAAGCAGATAGTTGTGCAGAAATTGATGTGCGCAGACATAGTCACTTTTTTCTGCTCTTCTGCAAAGTAATCCTTTGAATGCTATGTTTATTCTGTCACAGATAATTTCTGGAAAGACAAAAATCAGAATACTGAAAGATCAACGTGGAGGTATGGTTATTGTCTTTATTTAGTTTGTATTTATGCAGACTATTAGCATATAAAATGGTTTCTTGTTCTGCTTATTACAGAGCCTAGGAAACATGCCATCATCGATACAGCAGTTTGTGAAAGTGAAAAACTAAAAGTTAAGGGGAAATTATGTGGACAGTGTGAGATCAGAAGTCCTGTGCTGGTATGTAAGACAAGAGATACATTATCAAATAAATCCTTTATTTCACATTGTTTGACAATAATAGCTAAGTCAATGGAAACGTGAAGACTGATTACCTGGTTGTGATGCTTCATTTTAATAATGGAAAAAGCTGATAAAATTCACGCACAAATTTTGATGTTTGTAAAGGATTAATTGACCTTATTGATCAAAATAAGTCTGAAATCCAAGCAAACTAAAGCAAGCACCTTTTAACGATTTTGCTTTAGAAATGTAATTATTGCCTCTGGTAGTCTGTCCCTGTGTATTACATGTGATTAATACCACTGTGGCGTAACACATATTTTAAATATATGTTTTAAACAATGTATGTGACTAGAAATAAATTCAATTAAACTAGTTTATAGTCAGAATGAGACTATCAGAAATTGAATAAAACAATAAATTATGAACTGATTTATGGGACATCTAATTAATGAGAAATGTGTATTAGATGTTGGCTGTGAAGTTGCCCAAATTAAATCCAGGCAAATAGTTTGAGATCACAGATACCCTAGCATATTGTTTTTATGCCAAACTGACAACAGTTTTGTCCTTCTTAATATTACCAACAAGTTAACTAATCTAGCAGCGTTTTTTTTTCTCTAACATTCAAATGTAGTCAGTTTATCATAAAATCATAAGAAATAGGACCAGGAATCAGCCATTCAGACTCTCAAACCCGCTCTGTTATTCAATAAAATACTACTTGATTTGATTGTGGCTGTAACTCCACTTTCCTGCATAAGCACCAATAACCCTTAACTCCCTTGTAGATCAAAAATCGATTTAACTCAACCTTGAATATGTTCAGTGATCCAGCCTTCACAGCTGTCTGTGATAGAGAACAATCCCCTGAGAGAAGAAATTTCTCCTTAATTTTAACTTGAATGGGAGATTGCTTATTTTTAAGACTGTGTGCACTAGATCTAGATTCATCCACAAGGAGAAATATCATTTAAGCATTATCCTGTGAAGACCCCTCAAATGTTATATAGTTCAGTTAGATTTTTGTAATGCTGAAAAATGATATGTTTTGACACAGTTTTTGTCTTGCACTCTCAAGACATTGGGATGAAATACCACTGTAAAGAGAAAACAGCATTATATTGTATGAGAGGAGAGTGCTGATTATTTGGAAAATGGACCCTGATAGAGGCACTGCCATGGAGAATGCACAGTTGCGTAATGACTACAGTTAACTGCCAAGATTTGTTTAAGTTTTAAATCAGGCAGGTTGACTCTGGTTGATCAAGGCATTGGCCTGAGAAATGATCCAGAAAATAGTTGTCTCATATTTTATTGAATTGAGACAGTCCCAGTTCTTTGTCTGCATAGACAAGTTGGACCGAAGGGTCTGTTTCCATGCTATACATCTCCATGACTATGACTTTTGTCCACATTTGCTCATTCCACTAGGCTGAATGGGTTTGGATTTGGGACAGGATATGATAGGGTAGGATGGGACAAGATAGGATAGGATAACCTCAAGTTACTCTTTTTAAACTTGCTACCTCCTCCTTTCACAGCTATCTGTAAAATTAAGGCAATCATGAATGTACCACTCATCGAAACCATGAACTTAGCAAATCACGCAGTTGAGTTCCTGTGTACTGGTAAATATAGCTTCCAGTACACACAGGTGTGCCACCTGCAAGCCTGTCTGACAATCTGAAAGGATATTGTGTTTCATATTATGCACCTGTCTTTTGGCCATATAACCTATATAACTAGCATCACCTTGGCACTGAAATTCATACGCCTTTCTACTCCTTTTTATGATAAGCAGAATGTATATTTTGGCTTGATGTCGATGTGCTGTTAGTGGCAAACACCACTTGTGTTGCTACTGCTTAGTTGCATGTGAAACGGGTAACTTCACCTCTTGTTAAAACTTGAGACACCATGAGACTCGTGGTGAGACAGATGACTTGTGGTTTAACCTGAGTGTCACCACTCCTCAGTTGAGGTGAGAGATTGAGAAGGAGAGTCCCTCCTCATAACCTCAGTGTATGCTGGAATTGATCCTACACTCTTGGCCCACTCTGCATTGCAAACCAGCTATGCAGACAACTGAGCTAACTGACCCTGATTTCCCATAAAAACTAACAAAGGTGTTAGCTTGATCTGGGCCTTGTTGGGATTCCATAGCAACACCATCTAATTGAGCATACATGGTGTCATTGAAACTGAACTCAACTGTGTGATTTGCTGAGTTCATAATTTGAATGGATACTGATTCAACAATGGTGATGCATCTATGTTGGCATGATATATATAGTGCTGCAGTGCATATGTCAATAGTTTCCATGAGTGGTACATTTAAGATTGCCTTAATTTTACAGATAGCTGTGAAAGGAGGAGGTAGAAAGTTTTAAAAGAATAAGTCAAGGCTATCCTATCCTATCTTGTCCCATCATACCCTATCATATCCTGTCCCAAATCCAAACCCATTCAGTCTAGTGAAATGAGCAAATTTGGACAAAAGTCATAGATTCATGGAGATGTATAGCATGGAAACAGACCCTTCGGTCCAACTCCTCTATGCTGACCAGATATCCTAAATAAATCTAGTCCCATTTGCCAGCATTTTGCCCATATCCCTCTAAACCCTTGCTATTCATATACGCATCCAGATGCCTTTTAAATGTTGTAATTGTACCAGCCTCCACCACTTCCTCTGGCAGCTCATTCCATACACATATCAACCTCTGCATGAAAAAGTTGCCCCTTTGAAATCTTTCCCCTTTACCTTAAACCTATGACCTCTACTTTTGGACTCCCCCACCCTGGAGAAAAGACCTTGTCTATTTACCCTGTCAATGCCCTTTATGATTTTGTAAACCTCTATCCCCAAACTAATCAGCCTTTCCCTATATCTCAAGCCGTCCAACCCTGGCAACATCCTTCTAAATCTTTCACAACATCCTTCCAAAGGAGGGAGACCAGAATTGCATGCAGTATTTCAAAACTGGCGTAACCATTGCACTGTACAGCCGCAACATGATCTCCCAACTCCTATACTCAATGTACTGACCAATAAAGGCAAGCACAATTCTATTAGTTTCAAAATAGTTATGGAAAAGGATAAAAGTTAAAGTTTTTAATCGGAGTAAAGCAAATTTTAATGGTATGAGACAAGAACTTTCAAAAGTTGTTTGGAGTAGACTGTTCGCATGTAGAGGGACGTCTGACAAGTGGGAGGCATTCAAGAGTGTGATGACAACAGTTCAGAGGCATTTTGTTCCTATTAGAGTGAAGGGTAAGGCTGGTAAGATTAAGGAACAATGGATGAACAAAGGTATTGAGGTTCAGGTCAAGAATAAAAGAGAATCTTTTTTCAGATATAGACAACTTGGTTCAATTGAATCTTTTAATCGATATAAAGATTGTAGGGGCATTCTTAAGAAAGAAATCAAGAAGGCAAAGAGAGGATATGAGATAGCATTGGCAGGTAAAGTTAAGAATAATCCAAAGAGATTCTACAAATACATTAAGAGCAAGTTGGTAACTAGAGAGAGGAAATTCTGAGGAAGGGTCACTGGACCCAAAATGTTAACTCTGGTTTTTCCTTCACAGATGCTGGCAGACCTGCTGAGCTTTTCTAGCTACTTTTTTTGTAATGAGAGGGAGGGTTGGTCCTCTTAAAGATCAAGGAGGTCATGATTGTGTTGAACTCCAGGAAATAGAAGAGATACTAAATGAATATTTTGCGTCACTTTTTACTGTGGAGAAAGAAATAGAATCCAGAGAATGCAGACAAATAAACTTTTGATGTTTTAAAGACAGTTTACATTACAGAAGAGTAAGTTCAGGAGGTCTTAGAGATTGTAAAGGTGGATAAATCACCGGGACCTGATCTAATGTATCCCAGAATGTTGTTGGAAGTAAGGGAGGAAATTACAAGACCCGTTGCAGAAATATTTGCATCATCTATAACCACGGGTGAGGTGCCTGATGATCGGATGGTGGCTAATGTTGTACCTTTGTTCAAGAAAAGTCGTAAGGAGAAACCAGGGAACTATAGTCCTGTGAATCTGAATTCAGTTGTGGGTGAATTGTTGGAGGTGATTACAAAAGATAGGGTTTATGGACATTTAGAAAGGCAAAAAGTGATTCATGATAGTCAGTATGGTTTTATGCTAAGAAAATCGAGTCTCACAAACTTGTTTGAGTTTTTTGAGGAAGTTACCAAACAGGTTATTGATGACAAAGCAGTAGACATTGTTTATTTGGTTTTTAGTAAAGCCTTTGACAAGGTTCCACATGGTAGACTAATTAGTAAAGTTAGGTCACATGGGATTCCGGGGGAGCTTGCCAATTGGATACATAATTGGTTTAACAGCAGGAGACAGAGAGTAATGATGGAGGGTTGCTTTAGGGACTGGAGGCCTGTGACCGGTGGTATTCCACAGGGATCGGTTCTGGGTCCTCTTTTGTTTATCATTTATATAAATGATATGGATGAGAATATAGAAGGCATGGTTAGTAAGTTTGCAGATGACACCATTAGTGGCATTGTAGACAATGAAGAAGGTTTTCTAAGATTACAAAGGGAGCTTGATCAAATGAGTCAATGGGCTGAAAAATGGCAGATGGAGTTCAAACTAGATGAATGCAAAGTATTGCATTTTGGTACAACAAACAAAGGTAGAGCTTATACAATTAATGGTAGGGCCTTGGGTAGTGTTGTAGAACGGAGAGACTTAGGGTGCAGGCACATAATTCTTTAAAGTTGGCATCACATATGGACAGGATGGTTAAAAAGCCATTTGGCACGCTTGCCTTCATTGCTCAGTCCTTTGAGTGCAGGAGTTGGGACGTTGTGTTGAGGTTATATAGGACATTGTTAAGGCCTCTTCTGGAATACTGTGTTCAGTTCTGGTCACCCAGTTATAGGAAGGATATTGTCAACTGGAGAGGGTTCAGAAGAGATTTACCAGGATATTGCTGGATTTGGAAGACTTGAGTTATAAGGAATG